TATTTACATATATAGTTTATTGTAAATATTAATTATATATTATATATAATAAATATGCATGTGTATTGTACTAGATAAAATATTAGTTATTTTTTCAATATAATCATTTTAAGCTATTTTTAGTTAAAGATATTATTTTTAAAAATATTCTCAATTTTTGTATCTCTTTTAATTAATTATTCTTAATTTTATTTCTAAATTAAATTTTAATATTTTAAAAAGTTATCAATATTTTAAAATAATTTTGTATCAAGTATGTATTATTTACATAAAAATAAAATATAATTTAAAACTTAAAAGTGGTTTTACTAAAAAAAAAACTTAAAAAGAGGTTATGATTAGTTATATATATGTTTTTTTTATAAAAAAATGAGTGATATATTTAAAGAAAAAAAATAGTAGAAATAATAATTGGCTCATGATATATACACCTCATTTTTCTTATAAGTACACCTCTTTTATTTATTTTTTTAAAATTTATAAAATATTGTAGTTTTTTTTAAATTTCCTAATTTTACACTTCCAACTTTCAATTTGATATTTTTTTTTTTTCACATACTTTTTTTTTTTAAATTTTAACATGCTACCAAAATAGGTATGATGGAAGAAAGGTAAGAGGGTGCATGTAAAAATTGAAAAAAGGAAGGAAGATGTGTAAAAAAAAAATACTAAATTAAATATTGTAGATGTAAAACTAAAAATTAAAACAAAAGAATTTAAAAAAATTAAGAATATTTTAAAAATTCAATTATTTTTTTAAAAACGGAAGTGTACTTATATTAAAAAAAATTAACCATAATAATTTGCGGAAGGCCCAATTAGAAACATAAAAGGCCCAATAAGTGACGAAAGAAACAAAAGGCCACAAAGCTAATCATACCAACGTGCTGATAGAGAAAACCCTATACATATAAAAGACGGAGATTCACGGCCTCATCACTCTATTTCTGATCATGAGTTATGACCTCATTTTTTGTTTTTTCAAAATAATTTTTGCAAATTATTGAAATCTCTTGAATTTGTGATTTAATGTGATTTGGTTAATTTAATGTGATTGTTGTTGTATGAAGGATGGGCGAAGAGGCAGCGAAAGCTTTGGTTCCCGAATCGGTGCTGAAGAAGCAAAAGAGGAATGAGGAGTGGGCTTTGGCCAAAATACAGGAACTTGATGCCGCCCAAAAGAAGAGGTTTGAAACGCGCAAACTCATTTTTAGCAGAGCCAAACAGTACGCCAAGGAATACGACGAGCAGGTATTCAAATTCGAATTGGGAGCGTTGCATTGATAGAGTTTTGTTTTTAATATAACATTATCTTTGTGTGTGTGTGTGTGTGTGTGTGCTTGTTCAGCAAAAGGAACTCATTAGGTTGAAGCGTGAAGCCAAGCTTAAGGGAGGGTTCTATGTGGATCCCGAAGCCAAGCTCTTGTTCATTATCAGGATCCGCGGGTAATTATTCATTGATATTTATATATTATGCCATTGTTGTATTACTCTCCTTACCTTTTGATTGTTGTCATTGTTATGATTGAATTGGGTTTATGTAATGTCAGTATCAATGCGATGCACCCGAAAACAAGGAAGATTTTGCAGCTTCTGCGTTTGAGACAGGTAACTTTCAGATACACATTAAGGCTTTTTAGGTTTTCTTTTAATTGGTAGTTGCATAATGAGTTGTTGCTATTGGTTTTTGATCTTAATTGAGGCTGATGACTGATTAGTAACTCTGTTTTTGGAGGAGGAAGTAGGTGCTATTGTCCGGGCTTTGTGGTTGCTCTTGTTATTTGAACTATTTGATATTTGCGTCTGTTTGATGTGCAATGTGATTAAACCCTACACCCTACAGCTTGGCTGATTAAATTACATTGCAGTAAACCTTGAATTCTATTTTCTTGAGTTTGACAAGAAGCTTGAGAAAGTCAATTATGATTTTTTCTAAACGAGTTTTTTAGGTGCCTGGGTATGGAAATTATATTGCTCGATTTCTAACTCAATCTAGGTGTTGTGCAATGTGCTGCAAACTTCATTATTTTGCTTTATGATTATAGCATAGGCTTTGAGTTTTACGTTGTATAGTTAATAATTTTAGGATCAAAATCATTGATTGTTTTGGAATCGTACAACATTCCTATTTTCATAGGCGTAGTTGAAAAACTTTGTTGTGAAAAGTGATTATTTTGAAAATTACTCTTGGTCCAGAGTAGCTTGTAAAGATGAGCTACTTTTTGCCTTATTTTCTTGTTACATGCAGTGAGAAGTGCAGTGTCTCAAGGTCAAATAAGATTGAAGTAGGTAGCTTCAGCTGTTCACTAACATTTTTATCAAGTTATTGACCTAGTTATAGCAATAACTTCAGAAATGTTCATGCTAAAAAGATTTGAAAGACCAGGAATGTTTTCCTATCAAAGCCAGGAATCGCTTCCAAAATAATACTCAACAATAAAGATTCAGCAAATAACATCATCATGGAATAGATCCCTCCACCAATGATGACAATGAAAAGCAAGAGCAAAAAAATAAAAAACATGAAAAAATGCAAGCTTCGTAAATGTTGAAAAAGCCGAAGCATTTTAAAAAATATATATATATAGCAAAAAAGGCAAGCTTTAATCATGAAAAAGCCAAAGCTAAGAAAATAAAGTTTAGAAAAATATTTCTACCACGAGATCAGCGCCTAGAGAGGCATCACAATACTCACGTGGCAGGGGGCAACACTGGAATCCCTGCCAGTCATCCACTTCTCTGCCCACCAACACAGGGGCACATCAAACCTCTCCTGCCCATCCACCTAGGGGCAGTCTTTCATCGCACAACACTAATAAGAAGACATCAAGTACAAGTACAAAGTGGGTTACCTGACCTTAGTGAAAGGGTTGCTAGATCCCCAAAACTAGTACAAAGTGGGTTACCTGACCTTAGTGAAAGGGTTGCTAGATCCCCAAAACTAGTACAAAGTGGGTTACCTGACCTTAGTGAAAGGGTTGCTAGATCCCCAAAACTAGTACAAAGAGGGTTACTTGACCATAGAGGAGGCTGGCTGAAGCCTTAAAATATCAGTCCAGCTTGGAGAGGCTGAGCTACGAAACTACTTCAACGACAAAGTGGGTTACCTGACCTTAGAGGAGGCCGGCTGAAGCCTTAAAATATCAGTCCAGCTTGGAGAGGCTGAGCTAC